GGGGTCCTGAAGCCCAAAAAACTTCTATGGATCCGCCACTGCCCTAGAATACATGTATCTCTGATCCCGCATCAATCTGATTGAAATTATACTTTTTAATTGACTAAAAAAATAAAAAAAATGACTACTCATAAATTGTACCGTATTTACACAGCTACGAGAACCTTGTTTGATGTGATTGTGATATTTTACTGCGTTTTCAAATTGTGAAGTATAGTGGGGCTGAAATATTTTATTTCGTTTTTTCAAATTGTGCAGTTTTTACACCGCTACGGAAACACTAGGTTATGGGTTGTAGATATATTTTTCTGTGCTCACAAATTCTTCAATAAGTTAACGGCTACGGAAACCCTAGTTGATGGGGTTGTAGGCATAACCATGTAGCTAGTAGCATGACCAACTATAATGTCACAGATAATCCATGTCAAAACTCCAACTAATGCCATAGCCAACATATGTCTTAGACAACACATGTCATAGCCAACATATGCCTCATACAACATATGTCATAGCTAACATATGCATCAGACAACACATGTCATAGCTAACATATGCCTTAGACAACACATGTCATAGCCAGCATAATTATGCCTCAGACAACACATGTCATAGCCAACATATGCCTTAGACAACATGTGTCATAGCCAACATATGCCTTAGACAACACATGTCATAGCCAGCAAATGCCTCAGACAACACATGTCATAACCAACATATGCCTCAGGCAACATATGGCATAGCCAACATATGCCTCAGACAACACATGTCATAGCCAAAATATGCCTCAGACAACATATGTCATAACCAACATATGCCTTAGACAACACATGTCATAGCCAAAATTTGCCTCAGACAACATATGGCATAGCCAACATATGCCTTAGACAACACATGTCATAGCCAACATATGCCTCAGGCAACATATGTCATAGCCAACATATGTATCAGACAACACATGTCATAGCAAGCATATGCCTCAGACAACACATGTCATAGCCAACATATGCCTCAGGCAACATATGTCATAGCCAACATATGCGTTAGACAACACATGTCATAGCCAGCATATGCCTCAGACAACACATGTCATAGCCAAAATATGCCTCAGACAACATATGTCATAGCCAACATATGCCTTAGACAACACATGTCATAACCAACATATGCCTCAGACAACACCTGTCAGAACTTACTAACGTCAGTCAATGTTATAACAACCGATGTCATAACTCCTCCCCCCCCCCCTTTTTATTATCTTAAACATTGTAACCAACCCGTGTCGCCAGTTTCATGACCTTCATATTCGACCTTGGTACCGACTGTTTGAGATAAGTGTCAAACGTCAGAAAATGAGTCCGTGCATTTGGTTGATGATTCCAGAGAACTTGTGTTCGCGAGTACCATTTCCATTCCAAGCACGGGTCAATAGTAAAAGATACGCGTGATACGCGAAGGTGTCATGGATGGCCTTATAACGGACAAGGACTGGACAAGTACCGAGAAGGTCAGAGCTTAAGTGCGTTTCTGACATTTCTTCTTGTGTTAAGTCTGGGCTCGAATCGATTGACGCATGATTTTGATTCCACTAGGCGTACATGGCTGTACCAGACTACCAGGACTCCATTGGGGTATTTTTTATAGGGATTGAACGGTGTTTTTTAAATTTTCGTTCCCGTATGAACGCAAATCAGTTACATATATACGACATGCAAATTAAAAAAAACGCCGTTCAATCTATATATTTACATTTTTACCATAGAACAATTGTTTAATTTCATTTATAATTATATGCATCGTCCTTTAAACGCCATTGGAGGAACAGCCCTATTTAAATAAAATTGGCGCCAATAATTAACCGTAGTCATCCGAGCGTTTGACGCAGGGGCATTCTTATGTTATTCGAAGCGAAGCGATAAGACTCTCATCATTGAACGAGGCTTATTTATGACGTCACAAGAGTTTTTGCTTTTATACTCAAATATTTCAATTCTTACTTAAGTTGGACTAAATGCAACTACCAAATGTAACCTGTTTCATTTAAGGATTGAATCTTTATTTTTTATTTGTTTCAAGACCAACTCAATTCATCACCCCATTCTGATGCGTCAATTACGGAAGAATAATGTCTACGGCAGCCATTTTTTACTAGCGCGAAGTGGAGAGACGCTAAATTTCGAGGTTCTACATCTTCTGGAATGTGTAGCTGCAGTAATTGAATGTCGAATTAGACAGGAAACCAGACGTGGCTTGAAAGGACGAAACATTTATATCATATATTCATATATCTTATGAATTCATCAACAAAAATTAAATATTAGACTACATTTAAAATGTGGTTTCGTGTTTTATTTCTACCTAATTTGGCTATATTGAACTATCAACATACACCATCATGTTGTATGATGGGTCCTTCAATGACGGACTATATTTTTTTTTGTTCGATTTCATGGGGTGATGAAATTGAGTTGGTCTTGAAACAAATTCAACATGAACTGCTTCGCAGTTCACTAAATTTAGTTCAAGACCAACTCGATTCATCACCCCGTGAAATCGACCATAGCAAGATTCGATCCTTAAATGAAATATATTTCTGCTGGTATTGTTCATATAATGAGTTGCAGCTCAAATTTTAATACGTTATGGAAAAGTCGTCAAAATTACAAGAAAAATTATCCTTGGTAACAGTAATTGTGATATCTTGTACTATTCAAACAAGTCTGCAAAAACATCCTCTCCCTCACATCCAACTCTACACATCCAATTACACACAACCCCTCAAACACAACCTCTACATAACCATGTTTACTGATTCCATTACATATTGTCCTATACAACTTCTAGGTGAACGTGGGAGTCATCAACACGTAAGCACGCAAATAATGCGTCTGAATTTATCTCGTTTTTAAACATAGTACCAGTAAGTGACCAGAACAATAGAAGTCGAGACATTCCTGTAGGTCGAGCAAACTAACAGGTGTCAATGGCATATTCGTAGGTTGAACAGACTAGTAAAAAAGTCAAGGCCATTCAAGCATAAATGTCACGGACGTATCTGAAGGCACAGCCAACGAGCAAAGGTCAAGGATATACATGTATATTAAGCAGATAAATACAGTTTAATGACATGTAAATAGATCAAGCATATTAGTAGAGAGGTCAAGTACATACCCAAAGGTCAAACAGACAAGTAGAGGTTAAGGGCATACCCGTATGTCAAGCAGATTAGTAAAGAGGTCAAGTACATACCCAAATGTTAAGCAGACTAGTTGATGTCAAGGACACACTCGTATATCAGACAAAAGCGATAAATGTCAAGGACACACCCGTATATCAGACAGAAGACATAAATGTCAAAGAGACACCGGAATATCAGACAAAAGCGATAAATGTCAAGGACACACCCGTATATCAGACAGAAGACATAAATGTCAAGGTCACACCCGTATATCAGTCAGAAGACATAAATGTCAAGGACACACCCGTATATCAGTCAGAAGACATAAATGTCAAGGACACACCCGTATATCAGTCAGAAGACATAAATGTCAATGACACACCCGTATATCAGACAGAAGACATAAATGTCAAGGACACACCCGTATATCAGACAGGAGAGGTTATTGTTATTACGGGTATTGTAATTACGGTTAGTGTTATAGCATACGGTTTATGTAATATTTTTCGGTTATTGTAATTACGGTTAATATCATTGTTATAATTGTAATAGCTTACGTACGGTTAATGTAATATTTTCGGTTATTGTATTTACGGTTATTGTCATATAGTCTACCGTTAATGTAATAGATTTTGGGTCATAACCTATAGTTAATGTTATAGTTTTCGGTTATTGTAATTACAGTTTTTGTCATAGCTTACGGTTATACAAATTAATGTATGCGGAAAGATTTGAAGGTAAGTTTGTAATAAAACGTAAAATATACGTGGTTTGATGTTGGTAAACTTAAGAGACAAACTTGACGGTGCTACCACCGATGCAACAGTTAGAATATTTCTGTCATATCTACCTGTGTGTCCTTGGGTGTCTCTTGTTAGACGTTGATCGGGAGGATGGTCTCATGACCCTCTGTACTCTATACTCTAGCCGCTCTTTATTTTGTTTATTTTGCATACAAATTGTACAGTACACGTTGCCGCCGACGCCAAGAATCGCATTCGCAGAGCACACGTGTGTTCAAGCGCTTTTAAAAGCTCTACACCAGCCAATAATGGCTCGTTTAATGTAATTAAACTCTATATATCTGTTTC